TACTTATACGAATATACGTATAGAGAGAGAAAGAGACAGGAGGGGGAATGTGTGTGGTGGGGTACTTGGGCAGCGCCAAAGGCGCAGGCCAGGCTACCCGAACTGTAGTCACTTTCTTCTCTAATTCACTGCACCAGTATCTTCACGCGCATCTCTCTTGCGTGCGTTTCAAAGAGTTATTCTTTTTGTAATAATTAATTTCGGATGTTAATCATTAGTCTATGAACTCCGCCTGTTTGGAAAAGATTATGAACTGCTTAAATTATAAGTTGAGATTTAAGTGGTAAATAAGTGGATAGTTGTTATAAATACAAGTTTGCACGAGCTCTATTTTTTGGAAAAATAGATTTTGTAATAGCAATTTTTAAGAGAATGTGCATTTAAAAAATAGGAAAAAATCAAGTTAGGTGATTATAAATTTTTGGATCCATTGCCGACTTAAAAGAAAAAGTGAAAAATAAATAAGCAGCACAGTTCATAGTCGTCTGCCTTTCTTTTTCTTTTGAGTTGACCAATATAAGCATCATTTTTGTCTTCGTCGTTTTTTTTTTAAATTTACAATTTTTAATTAAAAAAATCATTAAACAATGTAAACGACATTTTAACATTTCCTCACTGATTTTGCTTATTATAAGTAGTCGCACTTGATATACATAAAAGACGACCTTAACCAAATTATATTACATATTTATTAGTTTCTTAAACACGTTACGATTTGTCTTTTTCTACCAATTTTCTTTGATACCTTATGTCGAATATATTGTAACATATGAAATTGATATAATTTTTTTCGAAACTTATTTTTTTGATTGTAACAATATTATCCGAAATCGACACTAATCGGTTCTCATAAAAGTTTGTTAGCTACTAATGAGATTTGGCCCACAATAGGAAAAAAAAGGACAACTAAAATTAAAGCCAAGATTTAACACCATAAGATGTATCCAAATTCAAATTATGCTACTTGTTTGCTAATTTGACTTCTTATACCCCTATCTTTTAAGTGTAATTATTATTTTCCTAAATTCTCTTTACTTAATAGATTATTACGTGAATTTGTATAGACAGCTTCTCACTAAAAAATGTGTTCTTTTCTACATCATATGAAAATTTAGGCCCTGTTTGGGAGGG